GCGGCGATCTTCTGATACCTGCCAGCGGCCATCTTGGTGATGGACGCCGGCAGAGAGAGGGGACAGTCACCTGGCGGGATAAGGTATGCCGCCGGGTCCCCCTCCTCTCTCCTGATACTGTCGGGCGTTCGGTCCATGAGCCAGCGCCCGACTTTTCAGAGGGGGGTGACACCAAAGTGACTCAGTCATTTTGGTGTCACCCCCACAATGGTGTCACCCGGGTGAATGCAATGGGGAGGAGGAGCCGAGGCCATAGTTTCAGGGTCTTAGAGCCGGCACTTCAGATTAGCTGTTGTCCCATTGCAGTGACATTGATGAAGCAGCTCGCCGTTTATAAATGACGTTCTCTGTGTCTGAGCTCAGGTACCATGCGGTGCTTTTTAATAAGATTGTTTCTCCTCTATAAAGTCTGAGCCCGGCGCGGAGAAAAATGGATGATGAGGAAAAGTAAAGCTACAATGGCAGTGTACACCGTTCTCTCTGCTGGCCCTTTAACAGAAATGTCTTCTTTCTTTCTTTCAGACACCAATGACAACGAGGAGAAGTCGGAGGTGCAGTCTATTATCGAGTCCACCCCAGAGCTGGACATGGACAAGGATCCCAAAGCCTATCACATGACCAGGTGAGGCCTGATCCGCGGAGATTGGGGGAGTTTCCGTCTGAGCTCATCTCCATCAGCAGAATGAACACTGACCGCAGCGACCTCCATCATGGAATAGTCATGTGATCTTCATACATCATATTAGGGCTGTGCTGTAGAAGACCCCTGAACTCAGTTAAAGGAGAACTATGGGGTCAGGGCTTTTCCCCATAGTTCTCCTTAGGGTAACGGGAGGACACAAACTAGCGTCCTCCCGTCACCCTAGGCTCAGTATATAGCGAGCTAACTCGTCCACAGGCAATTCAAACTTTTTATTCAGATTATGGCATTTTCGGGAATTCATCTGTAGAGACCCCAATGACATCATCACGGGGTCTTTCTATTGGTCTTTTTCTCTCCGTTGAGTTTGGTGGGAGGGGCCTCAAATGTTACATGAAGAGAATGCATCCCTGGCATCAGTTTAGACATGCATCCCTGCTGGCCATTGGGTGCTACCAACTTAAAGGAGAACTATGAGGGGGGGCTTTTCACTCATCCTCATAATCTGAGCTGACCTGTGACAATGAGACTGTCACAGGTCGGCTCAGTAGATCGGGAGGTGAGGGAACACATACCGGCGTTCGCTCACTTCTCCATCCTGTGCCGGCAGAGAGCTGTGACAGGGGAGGGTCTGGATTCCCCCCTCCCCTGTCCGATCCTCCAGCGCTGACTGGCGGGGCGGACGGGGAAGGGGGCGGGTACAGCTGCCTCTAGATAGACAGAGCCAGCTGTCACTCACGCAGCTGGGCGGATCCCGGCACAATTGGCAGGATCCGCTGCGGCGTCTCAGTATACCGCGAGCTGTAGCTCCCTATATACTGAGCCTAGGGTGACGGGAGGACGCTGGTTTGTGTCCTCCCGTTACCCTAAGGAGACCTATGGGGAAAATACTTAACCCCATAGATCTCTAAGCTGTGGTGTCTGCTGATCAGCCTAATAGTGTAATCGTGCAACTGATCAGCAGATTGCACAAAGTCTGCAGTGGCCAGGGGGCACGCACGTGTGAAGGGATGCCGGGGATGTGTTCTTTCATATAATGCCTGGGACGAGTATTAGAGGTGACTGAGCCAAGCCTAAAGATCACACATAACAAATAGCCAAAATGTTTGATGGCAGAGAATGCGAATAGCTTCCGGGGTGGGCCGATTGAAGTCATGGAGAGCTCAAGATGGCTGCTGCAGCTTCAAAGGTTTTATTGAAGAGATGCAGATTTGACGTGTTGTAGATTTGACGATCTCTGTTCTCCTCTCAGTACCCCCACCAAAGGCATCGAGAATAAAGCCTTCGACCGCAACACTGACTCCCTGTTCGAGGAGCTGTCTTCAGCGGGGACGGACCTCATCGGAGACGTGGATGAAGGGGCCGACCTGTTAGGTATGATGGTTCTGTAGATCCTCTATTGTGTAATGTGCTCTGGGTGGGATTCTTCTTTAATATTACTACTAGGGATGCACAGATACTGGTTTTCGGTTACGAGTACCGATACTTTTTCCTGCTACTCGCCGATACCGAATACAGGAAGTCCCATTAAGGAAGCCAGGCGGCGTGTAATGACTCACCCCGTCCCCCCCCCCTCGGCTTCCTGATTAGCAGCGGAGCTGTCTCCATGCTCCGTTGTCACCTGCTTTCTGGCAAATCGGAAAGCCAGGGCGCCGTGTAATGACTCGCCATCCGTCCTCCTGATTTGTCGAGAAGCTAGTCAATCAGGAAGCCGGGCAACACGTCATTACACAGTGCCTGGTTTCCTGATTGGCCGGGAAGCCGGCTCCACGCTCCCTCGGGACAAGGGAGCATGGAGCCGGCTTCCCGGCCAATCAGGAAGCCGGGCAGTGTGTAATGACTCGCCGCTCGGCTTCCTATAACCAGAAGCTCAAGTATCGGGGAAGGTATCGGAGCATTTGGGAGAGTACGGGTACTCGCCCGAATACTCGGCATCGGTGCATCCCTAATTATTGTTCAGGGTTGATATAGCGCCAACAGTTTGCGCAGCGCTGTACAATATAGGGAAGACATTACAGTTACAGTACAAGACAATATGGTCACATAATCGTTTTATTAGACGTTCGGCAGAGATGAGTGATTGGTCGGCTCTGTATGTCGGATATTTTGCAGCAGTGTAGTTGTATGGGAGACGCTCCTATATCTGGAATGTGATCGGGTCTCGGTAGCTCAGGTCTCGTTGTTGGTATTGGCTGGTCAGCGGAATGCAGATATTCTGGGAATACAGGATAAAGTCTCTCTCTGTAATGTGACACTTTCCTGTTTTATTCTTCATGTATTTGTGGTGACATTTCCCCGTTTCCTGTCATTTAGTCTTTGTCTGACTTCCTGACCTTTCCCTTTTTATTATGACATGTTGAAGTGTTTTCTCCTCCGTGCACATTTATTGCTGCGCTGACATCGAGCCATTCCACTGACCGTGCGTTCCACCAATTGCCTTTTTGGGGGGCGCTGCGCTGCGTCTCACAATGTGGACTTTAAGTAAAAGAAATGAGATCGGAGATCAGTGCACACATTCACCGGGTGTCTTCACACACACCACACCACACCACACCACACCACACCACACACACACACACACACACACACACACACACACACACAC